AAATTGGAAAGTCTACGCCCCTGGTGGTTAAGAGCATGGACTCTAATCTGGGAGAACCGGGTTTGATTCCCCACTCCTCCACATGTAGTTGCTGGTGAGACCTTGGGTCAGTCAATAAACTCTTTCAGAGCTGTTCTCTCAAAGGCAGTTTTCAAGAAAGCTCTCTCAGCCCCACCTACCTCACAGGGTGTCTGTTGTGGGGAAGGGAAGCCGCTTTGAGACTCCTTCAGGTAGTGAAAGGCTGGCTATAAATCCAGTCTCTTCTTTTCTTCTACATCACTGGAAGTGACATTCCAGGTGACGTAGGCATGTTGCGTTTATTTCTGGGGACACCACTGTTGGGGGGGGGATGGTCCCACCAGCCAGCTGGCTGGTGATGGGCAGGAGCCCACAAAACCAGGAGATCCCCCCACCCCCAGCTGGTGAATGGCAACCCTACAACCCTACTATGTATTGAAGCCACACTTAAGCTATCTATTATGTCTTATTGCGTTTTTAGTGTTTGCTTTGTGGCACCTTTTTTTTAGCAGTGTTGCAGTAGGAGGACAAATCAGGAAAAATATTTGATTTTTTTGTTGCAGCCAGTTTGCTGTTTTCCGAAGGATGTGAGAATACTGAAGCCGAAAAAGGACAAGCTGGAAACCAGTAAGTGGGGCTTTTTTGGGGGTGGTGGTGGTAAATAAATAATTCCTAGTTAATCACATATTTTTGTTGTGCAGTTCTCATAACACTTTTTTTTGGGGGGGGGGGCAAAGAAGATGGGATTGTCGGCTACAGAAGCATCCGGCACTTGTGACCACGGCTCCCAAGAGCCAGACTCTACATTTTGACTGAAAGGAGAGGGTTGTTTTTATATCTTCAGTCCCCCCTCCCCCACTGGTTGCTGTGGCTAAAAAGTCTGCACTGGCTGCCATTTGAGGTGAGTCAGCCAGTATCTTGGGACTCTGATACTGAGAAGCTATACTATTCCCCGCAAGCCCACGAAACAGAAAACGCAAAACACAACTGCGCAATTCTCTCGAGAGTTTGTGGTGCCAGAACATTTGCCATTGTTCATTCCCTGGCAGCATCTCCTTCACCAGGCTTAAAGCCCTACAGTGAGATGGTTGCCGTGTGGAAGGTATGTTCTTGGCCAAGGTCTGCCTGCTACCCTACTGAGGTTCGCTTTTTAAAATCTGCTACCCTACTGAGGTTCGCTTTTTAAAAAGTATTGGGTGATAGTGAGGTATTGAAAAAATGGTATTTTGCAGAGGTGATATAACCCAGCAGAGCCTGAGTAAAATAATTCAGACTGAGAGTCCATGTGTGATTAAAATATAAAGTTTTTACTGAATTCTAGCATGGGAAAGGGTAACTGGGATGAAAATAACAAAAGAGAATAATCGGCTACGTCCTTACACTACAAAGACAAAACTAGAAGAGAGAGATTACGGCTGCTCTTCTTGTTTCTTCAGAACACCAAACAAAAGACGGGAAGAGAAGCCATAAAATGGTAATATACCCTGACACTTTAGTCCCAATCAAATTCCTAGATCAGGGAGAAAATTCCCGGGCAATCCACATCTAAAGAACATTGGTTACATGAGAAACATGTGACTTCCTGTGAGTAACATAAACAGACAGTTAACCCCAGACATACTGAGTGTTTTCAACTTGTAATACCCAACAAAAAGCCAGCAGGGACACCACAGACTATGTAGCTGAGCTTCATCCCCTTGCTAGATTTTTGTACATTCCGGCATCTCCAGGAGGGCCTGCTTGAAGATCACCTCATCTGCAGAGTTTAAGCATCCTGCCTCCTCCCTCAGGTAAATTTAACTTTTATTACTCTACAAGAAAAAGGAGAAGCCACATTCCATAATGTCAGAGAAATATCCACATTCTGCCAATGGCTACTCTGTGTGTGTGTGTGTGTGTGTGTGTGTGTGTGTGTGTGTGTGTGTGAAGTGTGTGTGACAGAGTGCTGGATGGGCCATTGGAAATGGAAAGTTAAATTAAATAAAAATTGGCCTGATCCAACATTGGCTTCTCTTATGTTCTCATGTTCTCTTATGCCGTCAAACCACTTCTGACTTATGTCCTTTAAAACATCCTATCATGAGCAGTCTTGTTCAGGTCTTGCAAACTGAGGACTGTAGCTTTTTTTTTTTTTTTTTTTTTTTAGAGGTCTTCCTCTTTTCCTGCTGCCTTCAACTTTTCCTAGCCTTGTTGTCTTTTCCAGTGACTCTTGTCCTCTTGTAAGGTGACCAAAGTATGATAGCCTCAGTTTAGTCATTTTAGCTTCTAGGGAGAGTTCAGGGTTGATTTGGTCTAGAACCCGCTTACTTCTCTTTTTGGTGGTCCACGGTGTCCCTAAAACTCTCCTCCAACACCAAACGAGTCAACTTTCTTCCTGTCAGCTTTCTTTTCTAGCTCTTTCATGGCTGCCTTTCCCAGTCTCTCTCAATCTCCTTCTGAGTGGCTACTTGACACATTTGAGAACAATTGAAAATGGCCGCCACAGAATCATAGAACTGCCGAGTTCAAAGGTCATCTAGTCCAACCCCCTGCTCAGTGCAGGATCAGCCTAGAGCATCCCTGACTACCTCCTCATCCACAGAGCATTTTATTGTTATATATGAAAACCTAATTTGCATATGTATCAGAAAAGTTCTATATAAATATTTCAAATAAAAATGAAAGAAACAAAAACATAAGCCAAATAATCCATGGGCGGGATCCCACTCAAAGACTCCCCCAGCAGTTCCCAGGTCTTAGTGATTGTGGGTCTGGGCAAAAGTCCAGGATGAGGCCCCAGAGTCACTGACACCCCCACTGGGGCCCCCACGCTGCCTCCCTGCCAGATCCGAACAAGGGGTAGTCTTGGCCTCATGTGAGGCAGGTGGGAGCTGTTGCCGGAAACTGGCTGCCTGAAGCCTGTATGGGGGTGGTTGTGAGTGGCTGTCACTGTGAGTGGGGTAGCCCGAGCTCCAAATGGGGTGGCATAAGTGGTGGCTGCGGGAGCCCATGTTCTTTTTCTTACCCCCCCAATCAGGAGGTGGAGCTGTGGGTGGTCAGGGACCCCCCCCCCCAGAGTGGGGTCCGGGGCAGCCCTTGTTGCCCATTGTCTAATAACACCCCTGGCAGTCTGCTTCCGCAGAAGTCCTTTCTGACCCTGAGAAACCTTATTCCCAGGGTTGCAAGACCCATGCGGAGCAATAGCCATGCAAGTTGAGAGCCTGCAATGGAAAACGGAGGAAATCTTTCCCTTATTTCTCTTCCATCTGAGGTTAGAAAGACATACATAATCCAGAAAGATCCACTGGAACAAAGTATAAATTAAAAAAAAATACAAGAACCGGTTAATTATAACTATGGAAAGTTCAATACTTCAGTGTTTTCTTATTATAGTGCATATGTCTCTACGTAAGTACATATCTTCATCACAATAAACAATTCATTATCACTATCAACAGTCCATTCTAATGATGGGTGAAAAGTGCTTCTAAGTGTTCTTTCCAAGATTAAAGTGCTTGTGCTGTAGTAAAGGGTCCCAAGTCCTTTGTTCTTTCAAATCCAGTAATTGAGGATGATTTATGGACGTTCTAATGGAGCCTTAAAAAGACTGCTGAGGGAAAGGAAAGCCAGGAAGATTGGCAGGGGTCAGTGCCTTCCACTGATGGAACATGGGATCGAAACTGACAAGACAGATAGAAACACACACAAACACATCATCACACACGGACTCCACTATGCAAGGTCCAGCTCCAGGCGTTGTTCCTCTTCAACCAGAACTTGGGATTTCTACCTCTACTGCTGGTTGGGGGTAGAATTGGGACTTTCATGGAGCTTGCAAAGGAGATGTTACATTTTTAAAACTCTCTTGATTTTTACCATCTGTTTTTATTTAAAGGAAGGCTTTTAAAATGAACAAATGCAGGATTTTTAACCCCTTTCCTGTCAACCTTTTTGCCATGTTTTTCCTTGTTGACGTTGCAATTATTATTTTCTTGGCCATTTCCCCTCCCCCGCCCCGCCCCGCTTGATATTTTTACTGGCGTGATGGTGTTTTTCTTTGGAGTACTTTGCGAAAGTGAGTTGTCTAAGGAACGACTGACCCCTGGGGCTTTGTTCAAACTGCTCCCTGTTGAGTGAAAAATTAATTTAAAATGTCTGCCTGTTTGGTGAGGGGAAGATTTATTGGAATGCTAAATTAGGAAACCCCGTCTATGGCTCTGGGAAGGGAATGATGAATGCTATCTAATGGAGAGGCGGCTGAGAAGGAATTTGCTGTTTTACAGCTGATGGGAATGAAAAACCAGCAATTTGCTCCGCAATTGGAAGAGGCTGTCTCTTTGCCGGGAGGCAAATGGTCTGGCACAATTTCCACCATCTCAGCAAATCACCTCCCTCAGAAACTACCAAAGGATTGCAAAGCTTAGTGGTTCTTTCCCCCAAAAATAGACTCTAAAAGAAATCCAGGATTGCCACTTTGGAATTTAAACAAGCTGTAAAGGCAATATTGGGGGGGGAAATGGGGTGCAAAACCAAATATCCAGCTGTCCCTGGCCTGGACATTGGAAATATATCTTCGAAGGGAGATACTTGGGAAGAGCAATGAATCAAAGATCACCGTCTAATTCAGAGGTCCCCATTGTGTTGCCTGTGGGGCTCATGGTGCCCGCCAACACCTTTCCTGGAGCCAGCCAAGTGTTTTTAGGAAGCGGCCAAGGCCAGGTAGGGCCTTTGCCCAGCAAGGCTAGGTAGGGCCTTTGCTGAGCAAGGCTTCTCATTGACTATTGGAGATTTGATTGGCTGTGCAGATATTTTAAAACGATGCTTTGGCAGCAGCTGCCACCACAGTGCAAGGATCTGTGTGGAGTTATTGAGTGAGGTTCAGCTGTGGTAATCGTTTTGAGGCTGGCTCCACCTTCCGTGGCAGCCATTTTGTGGCAGCCATTTTGTTGCTGCACCTACCACGCCATGTCAGAATTCCAAATGTGCCTGCAGGTTCAAAAGGGCTGGGGATGCCTGACCTAATTAAAAAAAGATTGGTGAGTAAAAGTGTACGGCAGAGTGACCAGCTCAAACTGGGGCAGAGGTATGATGTACAGTACAGCTATATGGTGACATATTTCTACCCTGCTTTTCTCCACAAGGAGGACCCCAGGTGGTTTACAACATTGTTATCCCCCCTACCTTTTATCCTTATATAAGAGGTTAGGGCAGAGGTGTCAAAGTCATTTCGTATGAGGGACGGATCTGACATAAATGTCACTTGGTCAGGCCAGGCCATGTCTGCCGTAAAATGTAATGCCAGGTACTGGAGATATAAACTTTACAAAGGACACAGGCGAACCCAAGGAACAATATGATCTTTTACTCAAAATACAAACAAAAGCAATTGATTCCTAGACATGAATGCAATTGATTTACTGGGGAGTCCACAAAAGCCCCAATAAATGTATATAATCATATGCAAAACTAGGGTTTTTTTCAAGAGATCTCATACCCATCTCCTTCCTTTCATTTCTTGACAGCTTCGACAACACACACCTCATCGTGTGCAGCTGCACACCCACTCCCCCCCCCCCCCCCGAGCAGCCTCCTGCCTTCCCTTTCTTGTACCAGTTGCTTGTGGGCCGGACAAGAGCCTTGGACGGGCT